TCTACTTTACTGTTTTAATCTACCTAAGTGAACCGACAATGACGCAAGTCTATTAGTCCAAAACAATCTCTTACCTATTCAATAAATATTTTCTTTAGAAATTGCTTCTTTGGTTGTTTACATGTTGTAATAGACTCGTTGCGGAAATTACCTTCCGTTCGTTACCTAATATTTAAAAATTTAAAGAAAAGAGGGTAAGATAAATAAAAAAAGGAAAAGGACGTTCTCGAGTTTAAAAGTTATTACCTAATGTAATAGTCGTTCTTAAAAGAATATGTAGAATACATTTCTTTATCGTACTTTTCAGCGGAGAGTTTTTTTTGTTTATAAAGACCGTGGGATTATTTTATTGGAATGTTTACATAATACAGTGATATGACGTATTCCAGCTAAAAATAGACATTCATCCAGCATGTGATCGTTCTATAACAAATACCTTGGTTTTCGTTAGAAATGGATGATTTTAATGACAATCATTAATTTTTATTATTATTAATTATATTACACTTATAAAACTATTCCATATTATGACTTATAATGCTAAAGTATTGTCTCAATGCATCTGCCAAAGTTTCCGATAAAGCATTTATATCTCTTAAAACGACGTAATAATCAAAAGGAAAAGTATCTAAATATCTTTCCATCTGTATTGTCATTCGCCCATTAACTGATTTATACCTTACTTGATTCATTGATATGATAGAATCCTTTCCTGGTTTGTTATCAACTATTATAAATACTACCATTATTTGTGATTCAACAGCTTGCCGAACAAGAGTTTTAAGACTTTCGTGATCCTCACAAACACCATCCGATATTATAAGCTGAAGTTGCCATAATTCCTTACTTTGTGCTCCACTACTAAAATTATTCCTAGCGTTCTCCAAAAGTGTGATTGAAGTCTCCATGAGGGACCGAACATATGTTTTATTCTGTTCAAATGTAAATTGTTGTAATATTTGAGCTCCTGCTTCACTGCTGAATGGACGGTCAAAAGGATGAAGCAATTGAACTTTTTCACCAAAGCTGATAATTGAAAGATCTCCTACTTCAAGCTGCGATAGTGATTTGGAGATAAGTGCTAAAGTTTCATAAGCTAAATGAATTGAACGCGTTTCACACATTGATTTCGAATCATCAACCGCAATCATGACTTGATATTGTCTTTTACTCGGTTTTGTGCGACGAAGCCAGATTTTATCCTTTTTGAAATCACTAGCAATATATGGTATGATTTTTTTCATATTAAGTCGTTTTCCAGTTCGATAATCGCCTTTAAGTTTTGTAGCAAGTGTTGGCTCAAGGATTAACCTTAATTGCTCACAGAGTCCATTTGATAGATCATGAGTAAGGATCTCATATTTTTGCCATAATTCTCTAGCTTTAGTAATATCTCTTCCTGATTGTCTCCAATCTGTTAATTTAACTTCTAAATCTTGACGTAAACTCATAATCTCTTCATAAGGTAAAGGTTCGTGTGCAAAGCGAGAAGAATCAAAGCATTGAGGATTAGATTCTTCGTCGAATAATTGTTGATCTTCATCCTGTTTTAAAATTTGCTTAGAAAGAACAGCTCCCTTTTCATGTTCATTACTATAGTCATGATCATTCATTAAAGGATCAGTAGACATTTCATTATTATGTTGGCTATAGTCGATTTCATCGTCTTCACCTGCGTAATTTGAATAATTACAGCATTGTTCATCATTATTGATAGCTCCGATCTCTTTTGATTGATCCTCTATTGCTGCTCCCATTGTCTGAAGGTCATGAGATTCCTCATCATTTTCAAGAAATTCGAATGTTTGATCTTCATTTATGACCTGATCTGAGTCTTGTGCAGGGGTCTGTTCTTGTGAAGAAGTGCTTTCATCTCCTTTAATAATATTGTCAAGACGACGTTTCCATTGTTCCAAAGCATCTCCAAGACTTCGATGTGGATTAGCATCTTTGGGACCTTGATCACTCTCTTTATTCTGGTTCTCAATGACCTGTTGTTCACTTTTGTCTGATTCATTTTTATCATTTGAGTTGGACTTTTCTCTAGACTTGAATTGTCGTGAATTATCATCATTATTATTATCAGAGCCTTTATTTTCAATCTCTTTCAAAGATTGTCCGACTTCATTTATAGGAGATGAAGTATTTGCTTTACCAGATTCTCCGTCAACGCCAAATGCATTTTCTGCTGTTATATCGGAATTTAGTTGTTCTTGATTAGATGAATTATTCTGATCTTCTTTTTCAATGTCTTTATCCTCAAATTGATTATCAGTCAAAGGACTAATTTTGCGATTAGGTGTTTCTTTTGACATTTCATCACCTTCAGAATTTTCTTGTTGATCTTCAACAATTTCATCACTATTTTCGACACCTATCTTTACTTCATTAGAAGCTGAATCATCGATTGGGTCAATATCATCGGTTTCCATTTCATCACAAGCCTCCTCTACATTGGAATCGTTCTTATTAGTTTCAATGTCATTATTTGTCAACTGTGCATTTTCAACTTCTGATTCATCAATATCCATATTCGAGGGTAGATCATCTCCATCATCCATGTTTTCATGTTCACTCGCGTCTCCTTGATCATCAATCATCATATCCTCAGGTAGTTCTAAAGTTTCAGCTTGAGGTATATCAATATCAAAATAGTCGTGTTTATCATTATATTCTTCTTCGTCAGTATTATCATCTTGACCTTCTGCTTCCATCGAGTCTTGATTTTCATCTACGCCCATTTGTTCATTCATTTGGGAATTTTGTGTGATATCTCCTTGATCTTCCTTAGCAACAATGTCTGTTTCATTCGGACATTCGGATTCTTGTTTAGTATCAGATTTTTTCCCACTATCCTCTACATCATCTGCAGAATCACCTCCCCACATCTTTTCATCTACAGCATCGGGGTCGTTATCATCAAATTCACCGACTTGTTCTTCTATATCTTCAGAATTTTTTTCATCATGTTCATTATCATCTTGATTTCCATCATCATCTATGTCTTCCATTTTTCCTTCAAAATCATTTTCCATTTCAATTCCTTTATCTTCTTTTGATTTCAGTTGATCATTAGTTGAATCTTGGCATGTTTCATTTTGATTTCCTAATACTTGTTCCTCATCCTCAATCTCTTCGCTTACATCCTTAGTACCTTCACCTTCTCCAATACCAGTACCTTGAACATTTTCATCGACATCACCTCCTTTGCCATCATTCGACTCCATTTGTGGCATACAATATCCTTTCATGAAAACTGTAGTAAATGAATTACAAAGTACGTAGGTTAATTTGCATAATGACTTATGATGATAGATAAAATCGTTCAGATAATATTGAATTACTAAAGAATATTGTCGAAAAAACGGAAAAGTTCTTTGAAACAGATTTGAAATTAAATCTTGACAATCCAAATTGTTAAACCTCTCGTCATCCATCAAATTAATAAGTTGATCATGCAGAATGCCGAACTTTTCAAGGATCAAAGATATACGTAAATGCTTGCCAAAGTTCAAAACGCGTTCGTGTTCTTGACGTATAAATCCATCAGGAATTTCCTTATCATCCTTATCATCCTCATTTTCTTCTTCATTAACTAAATAAATACTCGAAACATCTTTGGTTGACTCAACGGAAAACTTTCTTAGATCCTGAATAGCTACAAGAATTACATCCATTAAATCATTGACTTTTTTAATAACATTACTAAGAACCATCATTGTTTGGTTTTCCAGATTCATTTCATTATGAACTGCTTCAGTAAAATGAAGATTTCCAATAGAATTTCTAATATAATCACAAATTGGCGCCAAAATATGATAGGATTGTTTATCTCGAGAAGATTTGGCAAATTGATAAAGATTATTTATTAACGCTACATTATCTTTGATTAGGTTTATTATATCTTTTGTGATCACCGCTTTTTTTCCTGTAGCGTATTCTGGAAACAAAACGTCTTGATCAAACACGTGAGTAAAGTCTTTACGAATTGAAGAAATTTTATCAAACCAATTATTTAGTTCTGTTCCGAGCTCTTCAAAATGATTTGAATGTTCATACTGCTTTTGAACTTCAAAAATTATACACGAGTGAGACAATAAAGAGACCAGGTCATCCAAAATTTCCTTGAAATTCCATATCGAGCGTACATCAATTGAGTGAAGTGATAAAAATTCTTGAACTTTTGTGTAGGAATATTCTGCATTATATGATGAATAAATCCTCGAAAATTGTGCCAGGACTCCTGAAAATCCAACGAATTGTTTATCAAGAACTTGCAGATGTTTGCGTTCTAGAATTATAAGATACAACAAACATTCAGAAAAACCAAGTCCTTTTTGAACTTCCCGAGAGGTTATATCCTTCGAATGACTGACTGCCACATTTCGAAGATGAATCATCCTCGCAATAATCTTGTAGTAATATTCATCAGCTTTTGTCCAGTTAGGAATTATATCCTTCATTTCAATTATAGACGATGGATTTTTGAGTATTTCAAAGTTAATGATCATAGATAAAGAATTCTCCAATTCTAATCTAGGAAGCTGTAGCATATATCCAACAATATTTTGCTGCTGTTCAATTGTATTCTTATTAGGAAAGTAATTCAATCCAAGACGTTTCAGCTCTCTCAAGAGATCAACCATGGATTTCTTTTTAATTAATTTTTGATTCTTTACGGAACTTTTATTGTCATCGTTCATTAAAGCAGGCGTATCTTCTTGAAGCTTTTTGATACGTAATATTATTTCAGTGGCAAAATCGTCAAGAGCTCGGTTATCAACTGATTGTCTTTTGATAAAAATGTCTTTACGACAATATGAACGAAGCTTCTCTAAAGTATTCTTGATATTTATAAAGCGTTCAGGAATAGGTAATGCTTGTTTGCTAATCGAACTTTGTAATCCTAAAATTCTTTCGGCTGGCTCACTCGGTTCACAATCAGAAATCCATTTCTCGAGGGAACAATCCAAAGGAGTTATAACTTGCTCTTTAATAATCTTTTCTTTAGGATAAATCGTATTCACATTCGTCTGGTAATCTGTTATAACATCCATGATTGGTTTGTTAAGAATGTCTTTGTATTTTCGAACACATTTATTTAATTGCCTATGGGTTCTCTGGGCACTTTGTTTTAATGAATGAATATTAACATCTTTCCAACTAGCAATCTTCACAAATTGCTTCAATTCTTTTTCAATAGACTTACGAAATTCGTTTAAGGTGTTTGCATTGTGGGTTAAAAACTGCCCATAATATTTATAGACATTTAACAATGCATCAGCAGCCTTGGAATAAAGTGATGCATGCGTAGAATCGATAAGTCCTTTAGTATTACTCCTCGTGAGAAAATTATCTTTAATACAAAGTTGCAAATAAAAAGCATGGATCAATTCCAATCGTCCATTGAAATCACCCATTCTCGAGGATTGTAAAAATTGATCAAGCGTTCGTACTATTTCAGAGATATGTTCCTTGAAAATTTGATCAGTTCTTTCGGATATGTCAACATTGGTACTAAATGAATTGATAGGACGAATGATACAACTATAAAGGTGAAACCACCACTTGGATGCAGACCTTTCATAATACTCATTTTGCGCAATAAGTAAGTTTGGCCAACAAGTTAACTCTAATTGACGCCAATGCACGATAAGACCTGTGATCTTTTCTCTGTGGAGCTTTAATGATACATCACGATTAGCATAAGCTTCCCAATCTTCTGTCTTTTGTAATAAGATTTCTAATCCGGTAAGAAATTTTGCAAGAGGCGAACTTAATGCGAACCCCTGAATTCTCACACATATTGTAAAAAGATGTTGAAGAACAGCGTGTTCAGGCCACATTTCAAGTAATTCTTTCACACGTTGCTGAAGCTCGGATATAATTGGTACCAACTTTTTGGATTCGACAATATTTTGATCTTTGTAAAAATCATACATCCTCACGTCGTTTTTGGCGTTATTACTAGTACTAGTATCGTCCTCAGGTTCGATACCGTCAATTAACCATTTTTTCAAGAGAGACGTTCCTAGAATCTGAGACGTTGCGATTGCTTCGTCAAATTCTTCTGGATAAACTTTGCCAGCTATCAACGATAAATCTCGCGCCATAACAAATGATTTCCAGAAAACTTGTTGAGTTGACATGTCATGATCCAAAGTCTTCCGTGATTTCAAGTCGAAATCAGTCATAAGCTTTGTATACAATTTTCCTATCTCAAAGAGAATTTCCTCATTCACAATTGAGATATTTTCCTCAAACTGAGTAAAATCTGTATCCCCTTTATTATCGGAATCAATCATTGTATCATCATCTATGTCCGCAAAATCATGACTAAAATCTGGAAACATTTGCTTGAATTCATATTCTGAATACTGTTCTTCGGTGATGTTATTGTGTGTTTTTGTTTTGTTCCTATATAAACTTTCATTCTCTTGAGCAATCTTGTTTTTTTGCTCTTCAGCAGCAGAATAAATATCAGAGATTTCCCCAAAAACACGTTGGATGGTATTAAAATCTTCGAGAATAATATTTCCGCGTTTTGATATTCTATAATACATACAATACAAAACGACGATAAGGTATTTGAGATATTGATCCCATTTGTCTGGCTTAGAATGTTGAGAAAAAATGAGATCTTTGATCACCGCAAATGATTCTTGAGCTGTAATAATGTCAATGCATTCCTTAGGGCATCCTAATTTAGTTATATCTATAAAAGATTTCACAACATTATATATTAGTTTGTCACGTGGAACAACGAAATGTTTGCAGGTAGTAGTTATCATTCGAACCCCGTATTTAATTTGATGAAGAGCAACATATAATGGCTGTAATAAATCTTGATAAAGAGGATAGTTCGTTGACATTCGTTGGATGAATTGCATTACTTTTTCTTGAAACAAACTTTCCCGTTGAAGAACAGCCGAATCATTTCCATTCTCAAAATCATTTAAAAGTTCCAATATATGTCGTTCATCAATGACATTACTACAAATGTAATGAACATGTCTGAAAAGTTCATTAAGTTGCGACTGTTCCGGTCTTAAGGATAAATTAACCGACGCACGTTCAAATAGTAATTCAACTTTCTCCAAATTTTCTTTGCAAACTTCTATTTTGCGATTTTCACATTCGCCAGTGAAATTTTGTTCGATCTTTGTTCGAACATCAATTTCACGTTCCAAGTTTGATTTTTTGAACAGAAGGAATTGACATCTCAAACGTGCTTCAGCTGTTGGATCAAGAGGGAAGTTTGGTATGTACAAGGAAATAAATCCTAAAGAAAGGAAAATCCAAATCTTGCCTATTTTTGGATAAGTATTTTCATTCATTTGTGACGAATTGTACTCTTTTAATATTTGAATCATCAAAAGAATCGAGGGTATAATCCATTGATCTAAAACGCTTCTCAATATAGGGTTGATTATTTCTTTAAAGCTACTAGACACAATATGAAGAGACTCTATTGCCATTGAAACAGTTAATGATTCATTATCGATGATATTGTGATTTAACAAGGAATTAACAAAATCGGTAACAATATCAAGTCTTCCATTAATTTCACAGAAAATCTCTGTTGGAAAACTCTCCTTTAATGATATAAGGATCTAGGGAAATTATTGTTAATATTATCAAATAATAAAGATAATATTACGAAATGAATGGAGTGTTTAATTACTTGTTTAAGTTGTTGAATAAGACATGCAAAATCCATATATCTTCTATTGATTCTATACAGAAATTCATTTCCGGTGTGTTTACAATATTCAACAAGTTGGGTTTGTATGGTGTTGAAAGATCCGATTGACATAAATTGTATTCGATGACTATAAAATAAAAACTAACTTGGATCAGTATTCTTGATAACATTTCAGGACGGAATGAATTGTCTACTTGCGTGTAATTAAAATAATAAAATCCTAAAACGCTTTGAAATAATCTCCCAGGCCCTCCAGTATTCTAAAGTTGGAAATTATTAATCAATAACTTAATTGCAATTTAAATAAACAGAATGATTTTAAAAAAAAAAAAAAACTTACCTTTACAAATAGATTTGAAATTAAATTCTCTTCATTAATGTCTAAATTGTTGAACGAATTATTCCACACTCTATTGTACCATCCATATATAATATCTTGTACGATATTATTGAACATCATTTCCGATTTACTATCTACTAATAATTAAAAAAAAAGTGTCTTTATTGAATTTCTGAATTATCATATAAATGTATTTTTTATCAACGGATAATCACCTTTAGAACCAGGTCCGTATATCCATAAAAGTCGTTGGTGAGGGACAAAATCTAAAGGAAATCTGGAACAATATTTTAAAGAAAAATCTCGAAATTCCGAAATTTGAGTAATTATCTCGCTATAATTTTTCTTGATAAAAAGAAATAAAAACGTTAAATAAAATAATTTAAGAAAAACGTGTTTAAATTCAATGCTTATATAATTTTATTTCCTTGAAACTTACATTATTCAAATCGGTTTCTTGTGAAGCTACCAACTGAAGTCGTAAAATAATTTGCATCTCTCTAATTAAGTTAAAATAATCCATGATACAAGGTAGCGGGTCGTTTTGTTCTACGGAACGCGATTTTCCACGCGAAATTTGTAAATGTTTTTGAATATGCTATTTAATAAATAATTAAATAATGTAATCAATTTATTTAGTTATTTAAGATAATTCATTACAGATCAATACTTGCCTCAGGAATCTTTTGTAAAGAAGTTAATAATTCGGTCGATTCAGAAGTTTGATTTTCATTAATGAAATATAACGTTGCAACTGCATCTATCAACATCATTTTTAACTCCACATTTAATCTTGTTGAATGATCTCTTTTATCATCTGTAGATAAGGTTAGTTAGATATAAAATAAATGAATAAATCGACCAAAAGATCAAATAAATTCTTCTTACCCTTATGTCCTAAGTTGGTGTCAGAATTGATTCCAACTTCAAAAAATTCTTGCTTTAATTTAAATAGATCAATTCTTGAAAGCGTTATATGATGCAAACGTTTCCATAGAATACTCATATATTTTCCTGTCGTTAATACAGTGCTCTCAGTTATGCTATCAAATGCACTAAGCAAAAGTTTGGCGTGTTCATCAAATTTATTAACCAAACTCTTTACAGTTTCTTTAAAAATTTTTGTGTTCACATATAATTCACCAAGATCAAGAGAATTTTGTTGCAAATATTCCCATAAAAACTCGTGATAATCTAACAAACTATTGAATAATTCAACCTATCATAAATGAAATGTTAGCTCTTTAAAGAATATTCTCTAAGGTACAACTTTATGATTATTAAATAATCTTACGTCAAGTTCCTCGTAATTCCCTCGATTTATCCATAATCTCACAAAGCTTTTAAGTTCTTGTAAGAATGGAAAAATATTAGCAACAACTCTATGACTTAGCTGATCCTCTGATAAATTTCCGTGATTGTAACGATATGATTGTTGGGATGAAGTCAACTTGGACACCTTTTCTCGTGATGCTTTTTCATAAGAGAAACTTTCGACGAAATCTTGTCTTTGCAACCTTTTTATAAGGTTAAATACTTTAATATTAATAGAATATTCATTCCACAAATTACATATTGTCTCATTCTTATCACTGTTGTACTTGTTGTGATTTAAGCAACTGATCGATTTAACTAAAGGATGATTGCTAATTATATCAAGTGGCTAAAATAAAATAAAAAATATATGGTAACAAATTAATTAATTAACATATGGAAATTTAAAGCAATATAAAAGATATGACATAAAATTATATTCACCTGACACGACATGTGAGATGTATCCAAATCAATGGATTTTGCTAACCGATTTTTAATTTCGTTCAAATAAGAAACGAGTGGATGCCCAATCAAGGTATCATTCATGAATTTAATATATTCTAAGAAATTTACGTCTTGAATCACCACCAAATTATAAGAACGAATTAGATAAGAGACAAAGTCAAGCCAACGATTCCTCAGAGAAATGTCTTCTAAAGAAGTATTTTCAACAAAATAGTCGCAAGCTATCAATAATTCTTTTAAAATCAAATCATTTAGGCTCAACTTGACCAAACCATATTTGAACATAAGGTGTATCAAATAAGACCCTTGGGAATGGATCATGGACAATTTTGCTTCTTCCTTAATAAAAGAACCTCCATTAAATATTGGGTAATTCGTAGGTGATATAGTGTGTATAATGGCATTTTCTTGGAATTTCTTTGCAAAATCTTGAAGATACATCATTAGTCTATTTGGGACGTGGTTAAAAAAGTAAACCTGTCGAAGGGCCTTATGTAAAGAATGTGATAATCCTTCGCCTCGCTGAAGCATCTCAACAATAAATTGAGAGAATAAAATATATTCTCTTATATTTGGTTTCATGCTACCTAAAATATTAGAATTTTCATCTACACTAAATTGGAAATTATTAATAAAACTAGGAAGTTCTGAAATACGAAGACCAAGACCATTCCCAATTTTAACCATATCTCGCTGATTTTCGAAAATTTCTGTCTTCAACAAAAAAATTTCCACGCCACGATTCCTCATGGCTCTTGATAGTTCACCATTTCTTGGATCAGTAGTCATAAATAACCTAAAGTTTTTATGTGGTCGGATAATTTTCACATCACCATCTATAAGACCCCTTTCGTTAACCATCAAAGCTCCGTTTGGTTCCATCAATGGATTGAGCCTGTCCAAAACAGATGGATTACAAAGGTTGGCGTTATCAATCAACAACCAATGACCATTATGAAGCGCGTTGATAAGAACTCCATCAATCCATTCAAAACGACCAGTAACCGGCCCATTTTCAAGCGATTTAAGCGTTACAATTTTATCCATTATAGAGCTCAGAGAACTTTGATGTTCATTATCAAGTATTAAATGCAAATCATACCCGGTTATGATTTGTTGTAAAGTATCTAACAATTGATCGATTATTGCATAATCTAACTGAGACGAATAATTCTGACTAATTATTGTACTATGATCACTACTTGTACTAAATTTAAGATGATTTTCTAAAGTAAATATTATATCGTTAAGCTCTCGCAAAACTTGAATCGTATTGCCTTCAAATAAATTAATTGAATGCGAAATAAGAAGAATATCTTTTGTCACCTCAGCAGTTAACCGTCTTAATTCATCGACAACTACTTGTCGATGTCTAGCCAAATCTACTTGCTCAAATCCACCAAGTAATTCAATTGTATCAACCGAACTATTCATTGCAAACTCCTCAAGATGATTTCCAGTTAAATTAGCTAACAACCTAACAAGACTTGTTTTCCCAATTGCTTCATGTCCAGTAAGTATTACCATCCAATTGAATTCTACACATTTCATTAAGGACTCTAACGACTTTAAGTGAGAATGCAATATATGAAGAGAATTCCCCGAAGATTTATACCCATAAGCAGGTCGACGTTTAAGAAAGGAATGACCAATCTGGATATAGCTTGAATTAATATTAAAATAAGGATTCTTTGACTGTTTATAGCTTTTTACAAAAATTTCATTAAATAGATCAATAACTCGATTTCTGTCTTCAGCAGTTCTCATTCTCTGCAAATAAATTAGGTCCAGAAATTGATCAGGAGTAGATTTAAACCCAAGACCCTTATCATCGCTTAAAAGCTCTAACCAGCGAAAAACATCACGTAAGTTAAATTCCCAAGGGGAACCATTTCTACCAAACAAACCCTTAATCATAGTGTCTTCGTACATTCGATTGTTAAAGTCTAATATCTTCTCTAATAATGATTCATCAAATTGAGGGAAAAGAGATTTAGCAATAAAAAGCATATCAGTCTTAGTAAGCTGCTCTATGTAGACTTGAGTAAATCGATTGATAAAGGACTTTGGAAGCCCTTTTCTTCCTCCACCTTGATGTAAAGGATTCTGAGCGCCGAAAACACGGAATTCTTTAGAACATATGAATTCTTTGTCTAGTTCAGGTATATATGCAGCACCACGATGATCTAAACATGAATTGAGACCTTCTAAAACTGATTGAGAAGCAAGGTTTAATTCATCTAAAAGAACCCAATCCCCAGATTTCATTGCTTGAAGAAACGGTGCATCCCGCCAAGCAAATTCACAATTACCACCACCTTCTACGGGAAGATCAGAACCGAACAAATCCATCAAATCTGTTTGCTCAGATAAATTAATTCGAACAAGTTTATGTCCAGATGCTGCTGCCAATGCCGTGATTAAACTAGTTTTTCCCACGCCTGGACTTCCTTCTAATAATATTGGTTTCTTTAATTGCATAGCACGAAGCACTCGCATTGCATTATCCAATGTCGTTGGCGCTTGCAAGGTAAAAGTAATTTGAGTACTACCAAGCGTTCCTTTTGTTATATAAAATGGGTGGATTCCGAATAATGACTCGGTAGAAATAATCTTGCCCATATTGTTGTCACTTGCAAAACTTCGATTAACGACATTATCAAGTTTAAGATCACTATTCAAATCTACTAATTTTCCAAGACACTTCATTCGAAATTCCTTCAATACTTGTCCAGATAATAATGACCCTGTTGTTGCATTGGAACCAAGACCATCAAAAAAGACAAGATAACCACCATGAATAAAAGACTCGTGTGAACCCAATTGTTCTATTGTAGAATTCATGAATAAAACCCATGATAAAATATCTCGCAAGCTAATGGTAATAATTCTATTGCCCAGTGCATGAGAAAACCATTCTATAAAGTCAAGGATTTTTTGGCCATACCCTGCCAAACTTTCATGTACAAAGTGTGACTCAATTATTTGCAATAAATCTTCACGATCCGCAACCGAAGGCACCCAAATTTCCGTAAATCGATTCCTTAATGCTGGTGACAATTCTTTCTTACCATAGTCACCTCCAGGATTCATAGTTGCCAAAAATTGAAAACCGTCTTTTGCAACTAACTCTTCAACATGTTTACCACCTTTTTCTGCTAGAACTAAGATCCTATTTCGCTCAAGGACACTGTTGAGACGTTCGATAACAGAATCATCTGCCAAGGAAATCTCATCTAGTAAGAAGTTATTACCATTTTTCATGGCTTGAACTAACGGACCATCATGCCATTCAAACAATGTGCGAGTTTGTTTACATCTCAAATGTAAAGAGGTCATTGTATTAGCAATTTCTCCGATATCTTCACCGAACTCTTCTGTCCATTTCTCGTCTTTATAAAAATCCAAAAATAAAGTAATCAGCTGATTCAAATCCATATCCTCTAAATATGTATTGTCTTGAGACACGTATTTTCTTAAAAATTCAATTAGATCGCGCTTGAGATCATTATTTACATTTCCTCTATTCCTTAATGGCCTTTGGCTACCAAGTAAATCAGCCGTCTCGGTACTATGATGGCAATTAACAATATGTAGCATTTTATCATTTACTTCTGCTAACATTTGACACACCGTTGTTTTTCCACAGCCAGTTTCACCAACTAATAGAACAGGTTCATTGAATTTCAAACATTGCGCAACTAAAGTAAATAAACGTTTCATAGACTTGGTCCATACGATATCAGTTTTGTCATGTCTCAAAGAAATAAATTTTTTAAACTCTTTCAAATTTGAACAATCATATATTTTTTGCTCATCAATTACTACTTTCATGACTGATTCCAAAACTTGTTTCACAATCAATTTCTCTTCGGGTTTCCTTACTCTCTCAGCCAAGAGCATATATCCTTGCTCTGCTAATTCCTGATACCCTACAGCACCTCTCTCAGCCCAACGGAATAAATCTCTCAAAGTAATATATCCATGCTTTTGTTCAAAAATCCTTGTTCCTTGTCTTTTTGCCATCAAATGTTTATATACTTGTACAAGTCGTTTGCAATAAGATGGGGCAATTTTACACCTTTCTGAAAGGATCGTTTCTAATTCATCCTCCGGAATGTCATCGAAATGTAATTCCAAAAATCTATTGCGAAAAGCACGTGAAAGAACTTTACGGCCTCCATATAACCCGGGAGGATTCTGAGTTGCAAATAACATAAAATCTTTATGTGGTTTAACAATTTCTTGAGTTTCTGGAACTAACAACTCTCTGTTATCATCCAATAATCTATTTAATGCTTCCAATACATCAGTTGGCGCCAAATTTAATTCATCCAGCACAATCCAATACCCTTTCTTTAATGCTTCTACTAGCACGCCTTCTTGAAATTCAAGTTTACCTTCAGTATTAGAAACATAAGTTCCCAGATATTCTTGAATGTCAGTATGTTCATGATTATTAATTCTCACAAAACGATGTCCAGTACGTTTAGCTAAATATTGGATCATACTTGTTTTACCAGTAGAAGTAGGACCTTGAATTAGAACTGGAAATTTCCTGCTCATGACAACTCTTGAAAGGTTGTCCAAATTCTTTTTAACAAATGGCGTCAAAATATAATGAGGCATATCTTCGACAGGAAAATCTCCTAATTCAAGCCAAAAATATCCAAATTGAACGTAATTGCCATTCGAGTGAAGTTTAGGAATTTGTGTAATCAAATTCGCTTGATTTTTAACACCATTTAATAAATATTTTTCTACCAAACCTTTTAACAAAATTTCACTTTCTTTATTTAATTGTGTTAAAAATGTCATACAAAATCCCTCATATATTGATCGTCTCAAGCCATAAGATGATGCTATTTGTGCTACATAACTTAACGCACGAGTCAATGTTCTAATACTAAAATGAGGCATTTGATTTGCACCATCAGCAATTTTATGTTGCTTTTGTAATTCTTTGACAGCGACATAAAAATCCACAATATCTGCACAAGCACGCTCATCACCGTGAACGCAACCAACTATATACTGTCTGACAATAGCCAACAAATCATCCCGTCTTTTATCAGGAGGGTGAACAAACAGCTCGGTAAATCGACTTCTCAACCCTGGAGGTAAATCTCGTTTACCCACATCAGTAGCAGGATTCATACAAGCAAAAATACGAAAGTTTGGATGCCTTTTAACCGGTTCGATATCACCTTTCTCGGCCAATAACAGCGAACCTTGGGAATCTTGAAGTAAACCACTCAAGCATTCTAATGTTTCTGTAGATGCCAAATTTATTTCGTCCAAAAGTATCCAATCACCTTTTGTTACCGCTTTTGATAATGAACCTTCTACAAAACTAAAGACGAATTTATTGCGTATTTGATCCTGTCGACTTACAAACTCGTTAACCGAATTTTCGAATAATTTCCAACGATTCCGTAATTCAGGATTTGAAGATTTTCGAGAAGGATGATTTTGCAAAGAATTATTGCTTTGATCATCCATGATTGTATCCTGATTTTGATTTCCATTGAATTTTTGTTCCGCCATTTTAATAGCTTGATTCAACAGAGATATAAACTTATCATATTTCTTTGCAGCATATACCTTTCGGACAGCTTCCAAGAAACGTGAATTTCGTCGAATAGAAAATGTCTTTTCAAAAAGTTTGTCAAATTCTTCTTTAAGTGGACTTGCAAGAACTCTAGCATCAACGGGTTTGAAACCTCCAAGAAGATCACTACTGTCACTTTGTTGAGATAAATTCACAACCACAAGTTTTTGATGCATAATTTCTGCGAGATATTGAACCACCGTTGTTTTACCTGTACCAGTTTCTCCAACTAACAAAACAGGTTCACATATATGGACACACACAGCAATTTGTTCCATCAATTTTAAAGCATGGCCAGTCATAGCAAAAGGTCTTTTTTGCAATTCTCGTTTAATTATATCTTTTTTTCGACCTTTAGGAATTAAATTAACCCTCCCAATCGATATTATCTTATCATCAATTTTCATATCAGGTAAGTATGAATTTATGTATAAATTAATCCATTCCTTTGATATTTGCAGTGCGTCGCCGAGCTTTTCCAAAATCACAATCCAACTCTCATAGTTAGATATCATTGAACAAAAACAATCAACCGCTTCTTTGAACAAATCTTCTCTTATACTCTGTTCTATTCCCCGAGTTATATTTACATTATTCCTTGAATCTAAAAGAACCTTTATTCTCTCACACCACTTCATCAAATCACGTGTTGAAATATATCGAACTAAGTTCGATGAAAACGATTTTGAATCATGGTAAACAGATATTACAGTATTAAATACATTCATAATATCTGGTACCAGTTCTTGTAAAATGACAAAACGATTTTTAATAACGTAAGTTAACTCATCCATGCTTAGTGGGTCGACTTTGATTTGAGTCCAAAAAGTATTGCCAAAACTTGAATAATTTACACGTTGATGTATTAATTTTTTTCCTCCGTCAACTGGCAACAAGCTTTTTGTTGCGAATATTTGAAATCCTTGCTTCGCGTTAATCTTTTCACCTCTACTAGGTATAAACAGCTGACGCGTCTCAAGCAAAGGGAGAAGAACTGATAAAACTTCCATAGGAGCAAGATCTATATCTTCAATTAAAACCCATCGTCCATCACGAACTGCAGTCGTGAGAATACCAGGTTGCCATCGAAAAGAAGCAGGAGTAGATGTAGAAACATAAGTTCCTAAAAGAATTTTTGAGTCAGTTTGATCCCCTAAATGAATTTTTACAAGATCATGTTCACGTCCGGTTATTCTCGCAATTTCCTCAACCAAAGCGGATTTACCCGCTCCAGTTACACCTTCAAGTAAAACCGGGGATCCAATTGAAATCGCCAAACAAATGGAGTGCAAATTACATCGAGTTGTATCTGTCAAAACAAGGCGCTGCTTATTTGATAAAGATCTATCCGAACAAATAAATGATTTTGGCAATAACACTCCAGATATATTGACTGTTAATGAAGATAAATCCGATTCATTAAGTCGCCTAGATTCTGAGAAACCTGGACTCGTATAATCATTCAATAGGAGATTTGATTGTTGCTTTGCAAGTGATACTTGTTCCAAAAGCCTTAAATCAATAAATTTTACGAAAATTAAAGATGTGATCAAGGAAATTACAGAGAATGGAACTAGTAACTTACGTTAACATTCCAATGTCCTGTGTATCTTCATGATTCCATTCGATTGAGATTTTCTCATTATTTGCGCCAACCCAAAATTGAAGTGCCTTTTCCCTTTGTTCATCACTCATATTGAATACGATACTTAAACACCAAATTGATAAATATCGTATTGCTTTATTAGCATGAACTAACAATTGAAAAAGAGGTGACCAATTCCACAATTTTATAAATGTGCTTCCAGAAAATCTCAAAAGTCGATAAGCTGTTAGTAAAAGTTGTTGTAAATCTTTAATTTCCTTGGAATTCTGAAATAACATAGATAATTGAGAATGATACAAAAGCGAGTGAATATTATATAACATTACGATATTGTACCTCGTCGTTTAATAAGATTTCTTCTTGATTTAAAAAGTTGAGTCTCTCTAGTAATGAGGGTGTTTGTGAAAAGAATGTGACCGCAAAACTAACGTAAAGATACAAAAGAATCATGATAATAATTAGAAGACCGAAGAGTAACTTAAAAAAATTTTTTTTTACTCATTACCTTAAAAGTTGAGGTGTTGTAGGAAGTAATAAACTAAATGCATTAGCAAAACTTTCAACATTTGACACGGCAACGTAATCGACTTTCATCATGTCATTATTATCGTTTGGTAATAACCAACGCGAAACCAGATCAATTAAAATTGGTCGAAATAAATTAGCTATAATAAGAGTTAATGATGGATTTAAAAGCAAATTTGATATGCAATCTAATAATTTTTTAGTATCATTTGATTCATAATTAATATTATTTATTATATATGAGTTCAAAATTTCATATTGCCCCAAATTAAGCACCAAATAGTGATTTTGTTGATTAATTTGTTCAATTTTTGATAACAAAGTTTGACAAGCGGTCTTCATGTCGATACTTAAAGGATTATATAAATTAAATTCATTAAATATAAACTTTTCCTCTTCAATATCCACCTCCATATTATTATTTGATAAAATTTCTTCTTTAAAAATCATAATTCAAACAAATATGATAATCAGAAGCGGCAAAAAAAAAAAAAAAAATTCCATCAATTTATATTTCTGATCCACCAATTAGAATCCGATTTTAAGTAACCGGCAACACAAGATCTTATTGGTCGAAAGCAATTTTCCGCAATATGCAAAAAAAAAAATATTTTTGTTAAATATGAATCAGTTAACCATATAAATTAATACTTCCTTAAATGGTAAATACAAATTAGGTCACGTGAAAATGCAAATGATTAAATTTCCTCGATGCAAATCCCGATCTGTAACTTCGATCGAATCTTGATTACTTCTCGTGATCAACGGATTTTGCCGATCACCAATAATTATTCCACCTAGTTATTACTAATATGAATAATAAGATTAATTGTGTTCCCAAGAGTTTACAGTGGCAATTATTTCTGATGAGCCAAAAACAAAAAACTTTTAAATATAATAAAATTGGTTAATTGCTCTCCATTTTTTTTTGTCGATTATAATTCTATTTTCGGAATTGTCTTGATGAATTGTAAACTTCTAATTTCACAAGGATTAAAGTTCAAGATTTAATTTATTTTTATTTAATTTAAGATGAACGAACTCTGATATTTATTTAATTTGTATTCCAAAGAATTTTATATATATCTCTTTCGATTACCGTTATCTCCTATTTTTCCTTAGATTACTTTTTAACATTTGAATTTTTTTCACTGAACCCTTTTTATATCCAATTTTGAGCATTAGATGAGGAATAAAATTTTTATCAGTAAACGGAATATAAATTCGTAATCACGGAAGCGAGATCCAAATTACACAATCGGAACGCAAAATCATTCTAAGAACCCATTAGCTTTCAACCAATCTTCAACATCCTTTGAATCACGCTTCAACCAAGCTGCATTAACACGAATATTTTCTATGCTTTGTTGTAAAGGTCTTTCAAATTTTTTACAATCTTTGTTCGAAAAGAATTTCTCAATATCTGCAATGTCATCTTCAGATGTTAATAATTGAGTACTCAACTTAATAATCTGTCCAAAAAGAACACGAGATGCGGAGTATTTTTCAATAATCTAAACAAAAAGAAAAGGCATTAATAAAATGTATAAAAAAAGAATAAGGTTTTATTTATCGCCATGGAGTCCACGTGACATATAACGGTGAAAATAGAGAATTTCACAACTAAAAAAACTTCGTCTTGAAGAGATTATCCAGCTTCAACTTGTTCGATAACAGCTTGAAAGCCATAATTACATGGGTGAGTTGTATTCGGGGTAAAAAATGAATGCCACGAACTAGCTCAGAATATTTGACATACCTATTTTATTACATTTCTTACGCCCTCTGTGCTCAATTCTCCCATCAAATAAAGCTCGGTTCATGTGATTATATATGTATAATATAATGTGACTGACTTTAATGCCACGCCACCAGTGAGGTCTGTGACAAATAACGAACGACAAATAGGATTTCACACCCAGGTTCAGAAATTACATAATAAGTCACATGACCAGACCTTTACAAATTATGAACGTCACGTGATATATTGGACTGTGCCATGGCGACAAAATATAATTGTCAAAAAATATATTAAAAGTCATGATTCATTACCACATCCCAATTGTCTTTAACAAAATTCCATAGAAGTCTTCGTGAATTGTGATTAAATTGCAAACTATAATTAAATACAATTAAGAGAGGTATTAGCAACCGATAAAACACTATCTATTATTGTAAGAATAAAAATAGAATGAAATTTACTTACCTAGATAATGCGAAAATAACATCTTGATTTTTAACTTCTTCACAAATTGCGAATTTTAATGCACGTTGAATCAAGTCATCACTCTGAGCAAAACCGAGTCCCTTCAATGATTCTGTCTTTTGATCTGCTGTCTTAGCTTCACGATAAGCTTTTAATATAGCTTCAAAATCTTCGACTCCACCACCTTGAGATAATACGATTTCAAATACAACGCCACGAATATTAGGATGTAAAGCAGATTCATCATTTTGTTTGGTGAAAAGATTAAACCTGCGAAAAGCTTCTTTAACAGTTCTAAGAGAAAAATTAAATATAAATAAATATCATGTAAAAAAAAAATAGTAAATATTGTTTGATATATAAATAACATACTCTGGATCATTGGCGTTACCGGCCATCTTAATAATAAGTGTCCTTAACATGGTGGTTAAATAATCATCACTTTCAGAATATTCCCAGCCTAATTTAGGAACTAATTTAGACACTAATTGACGGTTAAAAGCTAAGAGTCCTTGATAAATTGGTGTGGGTTGTTCAAACCAAGCATGAAGCAGATTTCCTAAACGATTACTAATCTCTAACCATACACTTTTTAAACAAAGTTTTAGATAGTAAGTGAATGAATAATATCGATAGTAAATTACAAATGATTTTTAGCTCACATATATTTATCCTCATCTTCGAATTCTTTGATGAAATTCAATAAGCCACTAGTTTTACTATAACCACTTGTTGCTAAAGCACCAGCATCAGCAATTGCTCCAATACGATCACTAACATTAAGGAATCCTTGCTTAACTGCTTGTCCTAATTTAGCTAATCGTTCAGGAGTGTAATTGACACGAAAAACGCCAGTTTTATGTGCATTGAGCTGATAAAAATCGGATGTTTTAAATGGAAATTTCAATGTAGTCTCTTTTTGAGTAAGAACAAATGACTTAAAATCATTTTGAGTTTCAGGTCCAAGGTCGATGCCAAGAGGCACCCACCAATTGGTAATGTCCTCTTCAGGACTAATTACTCCAGTTGAAAGGAAACGACATTGTCGAATTTCCAAGGTATCAGGTGCTGGTTCTTTAACAGTTAATACCGGGTACTTTAAAATGATTAAAAAATAGTTATGAGAAAATGTTGCCTCAGTGCAATATAACAATATATTTTAGTTTTACTTACTCCCACCACTCTTGTCCATCCTGTCATAAACTGACCAACATCATTGCCACTCTCTTCAGTTAGCGCTTTCCATAAATCATCGGTACTAGCATTACTGAATTCATGACGCTTTAAATATCTTCTAATACCGGATAAAAACACATTCTCCCCAATGAAAGTACTTAACATGCGAATTACAGAAGCACCCTTGTAATAACTGATAGCATCGAAAATCTGAGAAATTTCACTAAATACACGAATGACATACAAGTAAGAAATATGTTAAGTAATTAACAATATAAATCAAAAAAGCACTTTAAAATTTTATAAATTACCTGGGATCATTTACAGGGACTTCAATAGCATGAGATGATCTTAAAGAATCAAGCCGAAGACCTATTTGAAATCCTTCAGTGACAAATCTATTTTAACATATCAAATGAGTAAACTTTAGTATAATACTATTAGAACATTATATCTTATACCAAACATACTGAGTCCAAATGTCCCAATCAGGAAAAATTTTATCAACTGCTAAATATCCAACCCATGTGGCGAAACCTTCGTTAAGCCAAAGATGATCCCACCTATAAAATTTATGATTGATCTTAAAGAGTTTATCTAAAATCGTATCAAATGAAAAAAAAAATTATAAAGGTCACCATTCCATAGTTACGAGATTACCGAACCACTATAAGAATGCAAAAATATAAAATACATGAAATGCAACACAACTTTTACTATGCAAATGATTTTAAATACCTGATGTGCCAATTCATGAGAAACGGTATACGCAATACGTTGCTTAAATTTTGCATCGGATGCCTTAGGATCAAAAAGGATTTCGGAAGTACGATACGTAATCAAACCCCAATTCTCCATAGCACCTGAATAAATTATTGATAAATATCAACCTCAGAAATATCAAGGATTGTTATATCCTACCAGCTTCAAAGTCCGGAATTGCAACCATGTCGCATTTAGGCAAAGGATAGGGAATTCCAAACACTAAAAAATTTTTATAAAATAAAAAAAATATATATATATATAATGTCTGCGATCATATTGTTGCAATTTAATAAACTTTCTCGAACCTTCGGCAAAATATTCTAAAACTTGTGTTGCTACATTCAAAGCAAATTCACCATGCTGTTCTTCGCCTTTAGGTGCATATACTCTAATCAATATAGGCTTGCCATCATTGTGTTTTCCAGTTGTATGAGCTTCAATATAACCCAAGTCACCAACAATAAAAGCGATCAACTATTAAGCAAAACTATTAAGTATAAGTTTGACTTCTCAGAATATGATTAAAACAAGTCACGAGCAATAGTAAATCATACATAGGTGCTCATTATCGGCGTTTTGTTAAATTTGACTTCTTTTTTATCATCACCAAGTTGAGTTTCACTGACTACATTCATATTACTTAAAGCAGTCATATCAGATGATACAATTAAAGTGATGTCAAAGGTAGCTTTGATTGCTGGTTCATCCCATGAAGGAAACGCTCGACGAGCGTCAGTTGCTTCAAATTGAGTTGTTGCCATATATCTTTAAGTTAATAATAAATAAATATATGACGATTTGAAGGTATAGCCGCGTAATGAATGTAATTAAACAAACATACTTAGTATTTCCACTTTTATCTTTATAAGAACTTCTATAAAATCCGACCATTTTATCATTCAAAATGCCAGTGAACTCAATGTAAAGAGAAGCTGAAGCTCCAGAAGAAAACTCTTGTGGAAACGTTAAAGTAGCTGTTTCCTTTTGAGAATTATAACTAATATTCTCCGCTTCGCAACTAACCGCACAATGCAAAATGTTAATATATAAATTTACGTTTAATAATTATAAAGTTGATAAGAAATTAATACCCTTGACTGGTTTTTAAATCCAAATTTACAAGTTTGGCAGATTTTATTTCAATTTCATTAGCGTGAAGAGTTATAACTTTGGTATTTTCATTGATGTTAATGCTAATTCAAAATTAAAAGAAAATAACAATAATGAATATGAATAAACTACGCGTCGTTACAAAAACATTTATCTACTCATAAAATGGTACACGATTGAATCAACTCACTTGATGACTTCGGAACCGGTGAAAGTGAAATTGACCAAGTCTGGAGTCAAGGTCAAAGTGTAATGAGTCGGTCTAACATTAGTAGGTAACACTTGTCGTTTACTCAGTTCTGACATGTTAAACGGGTAATTTCCAAAAAAGTATGCAACTAAAGAAGCTAAAATAGAAAAGAAAACTAGAAGTGTACAAAAACGATTATCTGAACTTCGTGTCGCAGGCGAAGGCCTTTTATTCTTTGTGGTGTCCAGTTTTACAAATTCGTTGATAGAATTTTATAACTTAAGATTTTCAATTTGTACTAATTTGTTTATAGCTGATTTCAGAATTAATTCTGGTCGTATTCAGATTCTGATTGGCTAAAACCAATTTTTACAAAATGGCAACATATAGCGAAATTAAAAACGTATTAGAACAAGCAAGAGGAGATTATGAGAGTGCGGATGAAAAATTGAAGAGGCTAGACGAAGTGAAGGGTTTGTTGAGGAAGTTGAATACAAAAATAAGACGTGAAAAGGTAAAGAAAGAAAAGTTGGAGTTGGAGTTGGAGAAGAAAGATTTGGAAGAAGAGAGAGACGACTTAGAACACGAAAAGGAGGAGTTGAAGGAGGATAAGAGGGATAAATGGAAGCAGGTGAAGAAGTTACAAGATGCATTAGTAGAAATTGGCAAAAGAGAAGGTAATGAACAAATTGCGTAAAAGAATATACAAAAAATTATTTTCCATTCATTCCATTTCATTTTTTTATTTTTTTAACAATATAGGACTTGCATCTAGTTATAGCGAAAAACCGCTGCCACCAGCATTTCATACTTTCTGGCTTAACCTTGTTAATGCATCAGAAGAAGAAAACATTCTATCACTTAATAATGACGCATATATATTGGGAATCAAGGACAAAGGCCAAAAAATGTATATTCGTAAATCTTATTGTGACTTATTTGAACAAATCAGAGGTGCTGTGAAAGGTGCAGGGATTATTATCAGTGGCACTCCTGGAATAGGAAAATCGTTTTTTGCAGTCTATTTACTATACCAAGCAAGATGCAATGGCATCCCAGTTATATATCAACAACCAAATGTTATTGAAACTTATGTACTAGATGGTGATAAATGTTACAGCTATAATGGAACAGTTTCAGATGTTGCCTTGAAAATGAAAGACAGGTCCTTGATTTGGTACATTGTAGATGGAAAAGTGCCAGAACATATGCGTATGTTTTGGAATATTATTACAATACTTGTTTGCTCTCCTGCTCGAGAGTACTATAAAGAATTGGAAAAAGAAGGTGTTCTTATATATATGCCATTGTGGGATGTTGATGAACTTGAGAAGGGGTTCTATTGCACACTTGGACCTTCTGATAAGATTGAAGAAGAATATGAAAAAATGTGGTCTAAAGTAAAGCAATGGGGTCCAATTCCTCGTGCTGTATTTTACCATAATCGACTCCTTCCTATTTTAAATCATGAAAAAGAAATGTATGATATTGAAAAATTAGAAAAATTAGATGTTGCTCTGGGGAGATGTAACATGGATGTTATTCGGAAAACTATTTGGGCAGTTGCCACAGGGTCAGATAACATTAGTCATAGGATAATTCACATTAACACACTTAATTATTTATCAAGTAGTTACATATTTGCCTCAGTTTATGTTGAGGAAAGAATAATGAACAAAATAATGACAGAAGAAAAACAGAAACTTAAGGAATTTTTACAAGCAAGTGAAGGTGAAGGACAAATATCACCAATGAGACGTACATTATTTGAAGGTGTTGCACACAGATGTCTCCAAAATGGTGGAACATTCACTGTACGTAGTTTGGAGAATAAGACATCCTTACCACTGTCAATAGTTCTGCAACAGAGACCTGTCAAGTGGTTTCGTAATATTCAAGATATTTCTCCAGACCATTACAACCGTCCAATTGCTCGAAATTTTCCAAGCAGTGATGCAATATTTCCATCGGACTATATCTTCCAAATTACAAATTCAAAAAATCATGCAATCAAATGGGTACCATTAGAAGCAACTATTAGGAAATTAGATGAAATCTACAATGATAATAAACGAAACATTGGATTCTATTTTGTTGTTCCTGAAGACAAGTTTGGTAACTATCCAGAACAAAAGTTCCTAGATCAAAATGGAAAGGTAAAGAAGACTAATGGATTAATAATGTCAAGGGTTAAACAATATGTACTTGAGATCCCTTACGCAGCATTAATTTAAATTAATATCAGGTAACTATCAAAGCACAATTATATTTTAGGTTAATTTTGATATGAATTAGTGTGATGCTTGTTAAAGTCATGTAATACTTTTTTTTTAATTTTGAAGTCAAATAATCATGTCGATACTAATATTGTTTTTTTTGCTTATTTATACTTTTATACTTAGGAACAAAATTTAGCAAATCCAAATCCACCAATAAAGAATCATGCATAGTTGTTTACCTAACTTGCTAAATTAAGCTTGTATTATTTTCACTATAAGACAAAATTCAAAAATTTCTAGCTACAAATGATATGTTATTGAATGTCCATGTCGCATCTATAATGACTTTTGCATCAATATCACCCTTTAATCAATGATATATATTATTATGAAGCTTTTGATATTAATTCATGAGACAGTATAACGGGATTGTCACTAACGAAAGTTAATAAAAAATCACGTGAAAACAACTTCATGTGATTAATAATAATTTTTTATTTAGTCAATTTTTAAAATGAATAATTTGTTTGCTTTGACTTTTAATTTTTTTTTAATTCTTGTAAATTATATAACAAAATATTTAACATTAATTTTATCTTCAGTATAAACAAACTTCATTAAATGCATAAACACTTAGTTATCAACAAAATATTTAACATCCAATTATATAATATTTTCAAAAATCCATATATACTTATTTTATCAGAAATACTTTATTATATATAAATTAAATTTGTTTTTTTATTAAAATGCATCTAATTGTCATTTTTCTTATATTGATAAAAGTTATAGCATATAGTCAAACATATAAAACCTTTGCAATAAAAAAAGGAAAAAAATAAAAAATGAGTTAATACTAAATTCAAATATATTTTCAGTTTGAAAATCATATAAAAATAATATTGATTTTTCCTCTTTCTATTAAGACCCTCATATCATGAATTATATTATAATAAAATACATTTAAATTTTTATACTACTTTCATTTACAGGATGGTATTGATAATAGTATACAATTTTTACAGAAATTTTAAGTATTTTAATGAAGTTTAAATTGAAGAATTTAATAAAATTGATAATATTTATATTAAAAAAATAATACAAAAATTTTAATTGCAGTAAATTTTTATAATTAATAAAATTTTTTTATTTATATTTACTCAATAAAATTTTGATTGAATATTAAATATAATACAAATATATATTTTCATAATAAAATTATTTATAAAATGGAATCCAAATTTAAACAGGCTACAAATTTTTCATTTTTTAATTATAATCTTTTATGGATTGATTTGTAAATAGAAAAAAGTTTATTTTTTTTTTGTATTTATTTTTTTTTTATTTTAGAATCTCAATTAATATTTACTTAACTAAAAAAACCATTTGTTATACAAACATTTAATTTGATCATATGGAACCTTTATAATAGAAAGAAGAAAAAATGCCAAAAAAATCAAAAATAAGTTAATGCTAAATATATTTCAGCCTAAAAATCATAATTGATACAGTGGCTTCCAAAAGAAACGCAAGTGGCATTGCTTGCCTTTAAATGCCTGTAACTCACTATGCACGAATGCTAGAAACATTATTTTGTATTTTATTTGAACCTCCAAACCTAGACGATCTTCAGTAAAAATTTGAAG